TTATTTATTTATTTATTTATTTATTTATTTATTTATTTAGTTATTTAGTTATTTAGTTATTTAGTTATTTAGTTAGTTAGTTAGTTAGTTAGTTAGTTAGTTAGTTAGTTAGTTAGTTAGTTATTATTTATTTATTTATTCTATTTGTATCCCGCCTATCTAGTCAATTAAGACCACTTTAGGCGGCTTACAACAAGGGGTACAACGATGAATAAAAGCAGTTTTACATAAAAGAAAAATAAAGGCTCAAGTTATACTGTATCATTACAAGACATTATGTAAAGCTAACCACAGTGAGTACACAATACTAAATGATCAAACAAACACCACAGTAAAAATGGTAAACAAAACAATACCAAAACACAACACTGACATTCCCCCCTCATCTTTTTAGTCCCATCACCACCCCTGCCATTTTTGTCCTGGTCTTTTATGCAGGAAACTGCTCAATCTGTTCAGCTCCATGCCCTTTGCAGGGATTCTGGTGCAGGAAGGAAATCATCTTGTGCAAGAACTGTGGTAATTCTGTGGAGATCCCATGAGATTTCTCGCCTCCAGTACAAACACAAGGCAAGGAGTGCTGTGGCTGAGGCTTCGGCAATTTGTGAAAAATGTTACTGCATAGGCTAGTGTCTTGTCCCACTGTGAAAAAAAGGGTGTGCACACACATGAACACACACATAGCAAGAATGGACCAGTAGGCTAAAAAATCAAAAGGGCAGGAGCAACCTATTAGATACTTGTAATTGTTAAAAGTCCATGCATGATCCAAGGCAGCAGTTACTGTAATCTGCAGAACAGCATAATGATTCTCACAAAAGTGCTCTCACAAGACAGGAAACTCTCTTGTGACTGACAGTATCTTGTACCCTTGCAATATGAGGTGAAGAATGCTGTGATTCCTTGTTCTTGCACATGAGGGAGGAACAAGCAAGGATTTTCATTCCTAGCATGTGTATTTGCCCTTGTGCACACATACATGTACAGGCTCATGTGACAGGTCTGGCAAAAGTAGAATTTTGAGCATCTCAGATATTCACCCCTGGCTATGTGCAATGCCTGGGTTATAGGCTATCTGGAATGAATATATAGAATGTGTTTAATTTCCTTTCTCTTTTTTAATGTCCATTTTAAACTGAATTTTTCTTTTTTGACAAAAAATTACTTACCACATTTAGACTTTTTGCATTATAACCTGCGCAAAGGAAAATTAGGTGGATACAAATCTTGTCTAATATTGGAAAGCTGCACAAGTTGGCAACGAGGGTCTTCTGGCTGTTGCTTAAAAAGCTGAATTCCTTTTTCCCCCATATAAGCTGTAAAATAAAAATACACAAACCATTGTAAATCTCTTTCGAACAGGGATAACTGACATCAGTCTGGCTTTGTGCTATTTTTCAGATTTGCCACCCACCAGAGGATGGCACTCCCTAATTTTCATAATTAATATTTATTAGATTTGAAGATTAATGCACTGATTATGTACTCTACGAGTTGCTACAGTGGGTTTTTGTGAAATGAAAAATTATTAAATTCAGAAATGTTTGTTTAAAAGCTGAGCAGCTCCCTTGTTCCCTCAGGTAGCCAAAAAAAGGTAGACGCTAGGAGCTCCTGCAGACCTGAGCTCTTTCAAAACAGGGCAAAATCCTCCTGCTATCTCCAGAGGGCAAAAGAATGTTTCATGCAAGACTTTCTTTTCCAGAAATGTTTTTAAATGTTTGGAAGGATGGTCTTGGGCTAGTCCAGAAGCACAGAATTCTGGTGCACAAGCTGCATTTAACCTACATTTAAGTTTGCTTAAATAACAACCCCTTCTTAGCACAGCAGGTTCTTTACCAATTTCTAATTATTGAACATACCCCCCGCCAATTCTCATAAAGGCAACATTTTTAAAAAGGATTTATGCCCACTCTTGAGTTAGCCCTTAATGCAGTCTTGCTCTTGTTTAATCTGCTTGAGCCTGCTTCACATTTTATATATGTGAATGGAATCAAACCCATATGTGGTAAAGAGAAACCAGCAATGTTGGATATCTGAGAAGGGCAAGTCTACCATTCTAGGTGTTTGTCTGAGGTGGATCCCTATAGTATTAAGGCCCCAATTCATGTGGAGCAGTGATGGAGAACTCCTCACTCCGGACCAAAGCAGTCTCCAAGGGTTCCCAACAGGCCTACAATTGCCTCAGCTCTTACTTTGCATCCGTGATCAACAATAACTAGGTATTTAAAGATCCTTAATCTTCAAATCTTCTTCAGTCTTCTTCCTGCTGCAGAGAACTAAAAATTCTTATTCTGCATCCGTGATCAACAATAACTAGGTCCTTAAATAACAACCCCCTCCTAGCACAGCAGGTTAAAGGTCCTTAATCTTCAAATCTTCTTCAGTCTTCTTCCTGCTGCAGAGAACTAATCTACACACTTTACAAGCTGTAACATGCGATTCAGATGTGAACTTTGCAAGCTGCTATTGGCAGGTGTTCAACATTCCATGCTTGGTGGGAAAATGTCCACTGGTGTGTATTGCACCTAAACCTACTCACTTTGCTTTGGATATATATGTCACACAGTTACACTAAGCTGCCACCAGTGGGAAAATCTGGTGTGTATTGCACCTAAACCTACTCACTTTGCTTTGGACACATCCACTCAGCCCTTGGTCGATCTACAGAGCCCATGCACCCATGCAAAATTGGAATGTGGCCCCAGGCCAAATCTCACTATAAACAGCATGTCTATGTGCATGAGCTTCCCATTTCAAGTAAACATGTTCAGTGTGTAGATATTTAAAGAGTGTATTATTTGTGCAATTTATTACAGTTATGTGACAGCAATTACAAGACATCACACAAATGTGAAAGAGGATATAAACTAATAAATATAATTGAGTGGGAGTTCCATAGAACTCAAAAGAGAAAACATCATCCAAAAATATATAAGAAAATTCATTTCTGAGAAATTTCAACCAAACTCCCACATGCTGTCAGGGGGCCTCCAATTGGTAAATCACTTCTGAGTGAGTATTTATATCTAGAAAACCCTGAGAAAAGTTGCCATAATCTGGAGTTTACAGCATGGAATTATTATTACACTAAAATTCTGTGGACTGAAAAATCTACTTCTTGGCTGCACAGGCCTAGCCCACAAATGCTGATGCCACAATAAATCTGTCAGCCTTTATGGTTCTGCAAGTCTATGTTGTGATAGCTTTCCAGACCCCCAAATTCACCAGACTAGTCCACTTGTCATGACCTAGCGGACTTGGCTGTTAGCAGTGATTTAGTAGGGTATGTGGACTTCTGTCCAACCTACCCCCAGTTTGGGGAGGCACCAGTTTCCAATGTGCCCCAGAAAGAAAGCTCACGGTTCCAGCCAACACTCCTTTCCCATTGTAGGGTCATTGTAGACCAAAATCCCCCTCAAGGCCTCAGCAAGCTGGACTTTCTGTGCTGCTCCTCACTCTTGCAATTAATCTAAAGTTGGTAGGAATTATAAATATGTGCAGTTTGTGACCTGAGCTTCCTTATGAGGTCAAAAGCCTAGAGACGAATTGAGGACACACCAATTAAGCAGGTGGAGCAGAGCTATGGGTCAGCCATGCCTGCGTTAATTTAACCAGGATATCCTCATCCCACCTCATTGCAAGGTGAATAAATATTATTGCTGCTGTTTTGACTGCTATCCTGCCCCATAGTGCTCATTGCCTATCCCTGAATACATCTATGGAAATGGTGAAAGTCAATATGTTAGTTTTTCATGCATCTACATGAGAAACATTTTACTTTTTAAAACTGTGTATTCACCAACCCAAGGTGACACAAGTGATACTCTACCTACTTTTCTTAATCCATCGGGAAGTGACAAAAGTTGTCGCATTGGTCCCCTGGTGCCCTCCAATATGTAGGCAGGAGCCAGGCACATCATCAGCTTGACTTTTCTACCAAGTTCTGGCATGGCTGAGAAGGCAATAAGACCTGCAACAGAGAAAGAATTTAAAAATAAAATAAAATATAAAATAAAATTGAAATTATACAGTATTTATGACTGGGCATTGGGTGAATTCTTGTAGTGGCCTCTTGGTCTTTACACCATCTTACTTGGGTATGGCTTTTGGGAAGCCCCAAATAAATATAATCAAAATCACTGCTGTCCTTATTGGTTCTCCTTTCAATCTGAGCCTTGAAGCATACTTTACCATCCATATACATTCCATTTTGTGTGTGTGTATGTGTGTGTGGATCCCTGTATCTCAAGTTAGACTCGGTCTGTATCAGAATACAGTTGTTCTGTGAAGGAGTCAATGACTTCATTCATGTCTGATCCTCCACCCCTTAGATACAGGTGACTGATTTATGACTTTACCACTGATAGAGGGTCTCCATTCTGCATGTAGGCCCTTACAGTTCAGCATGATGGGCATGATCTCCAGCGTTGGATATGTATAGCCTAAGCATGCTTAGGAAGATGACATATCTTCCACCAAATATTATGAATGCCGACAAAGTGGCCCTGAGTTAGTCCCAGGTACAAATGTCTGGAGTAGGAACCGGCAATTCCACTCCAGGCCTGAGTTAGTCCCAGGTACAAATGTCTAGGATTTGTGGAAGAAGCCTTTGTAAGAACTATGATTTCCCACTTTTTTTGGCAGCGTTTTTTTCTGAAGTATTTTTCTCAGTAGAGAAAACCCGTTTAGAAGAAAAAAGATGGAGTAGCTGCAGCAGAACTGCTCATGCCACTCACCTAAGTAAGGAGGTGGCCTCAGGTGGCGGTGGGTGGGGGGTGGGAGGAGCAAATTTGTCTCCATTCACTCTACTGGGAAGAACCTTGGCTTTCCTGGAGGACTGCCACAGGTCCACTTGTCTCATGTGGCAGGGACTGTGGGCATTGCTGACATTTCTCTACTAGAGGCAATGCTTTAACCTCAGTCAACAACATTTACATACACAACAGTGACTAGGATCAGTCTATGTTCAAATAAATTATGGCCTTTCAGCCATTGATGCAGTAGACATTTGTGTGGAAATGCCTATATAACAAAATGGAAAATAATAAAACTTGTAAAGCAGAATACGACTGTCACTGGAATGATTTTCTTTAAAAAATACTCTTACATCAAGCTCCAGCTGATGTCCGTTATACAAGAGGCAACAGGCAACAGAAGAACAACAATCTAACGGACAGCTGGATTAAAAGATGAGTGGAACTCCCTTCACACCTTATTATAAAGGTGAAAGCCAAGCTCACTTTCCTGATCCATTTCTTCACCTGAGGGTGCATTTGTCCTTAAAATGTGCTAAGCATCTTCCTGAGTTTGACCTGAAGTCAAGACATCAATCTGACTGCACTGACAAAAGGCTGCCAGGGAGGGAGAACATGAATATATGAAGACATCCTTTTAACATCTCAACTCCAGATCTCTGTTTTATCCAGACAGAATAATCAGAAAGAAGCTTAGGGACAGCCAGGATAAGGAAGTCATAGTTTGTGCTCTCTGATCTGTATTAATTAACTGTATTAATCAGCAGGTGAGCTGCTCACCAGTTATGCATAGCATCGCAAGGCTCTCAGAACATCTACATTCCTTTCTCCTCACTTAGTCCTTAATTTAAATCTAGGATTGGCCAGTCTATAGCTTAGCAAACAAAAACTCTATGCCTGGAACACTAACATATTAATTCTACAATGAGCATCTGCGATAACAACCATACAGTACCTTGAATCGGAAGATTTTCAGCATAAATAATATCTTTAAAAAATGTTTCCTGCTCAAGTGTATGAAATGTTTCTAGGATTTTAGAACTTTGCTTCTATGTTCTGGACTTCAACTAGAGAGCCCCATGGTGCAATGGCTAAACTGCAGTACTGCAGCCAAACCTCTGCTCATGAACTGAGCTCAATCCCAAAGGGTTCAAGTAGCTGGCTCAAGGTTGACTCAGCCTCCCGTCTTTCTGAGGTCAGTAAAATGAGTACGAAGCTCACGGGGGGGGGGCAAAGTTGTTGTTTGCATAATTATATTGTAAATTTATTTATTTATTTATTTATTTTATATCCCGTCTATCTAGTCGGTTAAGACCACTCTTTAACACTATGGGATGGTATCTACATCGAAACAGCAGCAGCAGCAACTACTACTTAGGATGTTCTCTGGTCTGAATCTCTCTACTTACCAATTGCAGCACCCTGAGAATGGCCAATATAATATAATTCTTCTTGCTGAGCCTTCTGGAGGATAAAGTTAATGGTTGCTGGAATATCAGACATCGCCATTTCATGGAAACTGTAAAACACACACATGCACCATTGAAATTGAACTCATGTATAAAATACACTAGGGTATAGTCAACAATGGGCTAGATTCAACCTTGGTCCTACTTAGATCAGAACCACTGAAGAGAAGAGGAGAAATTCAAATTTTATTCTGCATTGTAAGGGACTATTATTTTGGAAGGTCCTAATAAGTAAACAGCTTTGGAATGTTCTTCTAGAATAAATAGCTCATGTATATTGCCTGAAGCAACCCCTCTCCTCAGCCTTAGGAGTTACCAAGAAGTGACTGCTATTTTGGGTGCATGCAAATCTTTTATACTGGAGTCCCCCCACCCTTCAGCTCTCTGCTGAACACATCTACCCAAAGAGAAGCTTTTCTCATGGTTCTCTCTTAGTGTTGGGTTGCCTGGAGACTGGCAGTCAGAAGAGCAGTGACATGTTCCGCCTCAGGTTGGCCCCCTCCCTTCTATTCTATCACCCACTGTTAAAGACCGGCTTCCTCAGGCAGACGTGTAATAACTAATATAGAGTCCATTCTGGATGCTGAGTTTAATGTTTAATTATTATTCTACAATTAATTAATTGTTTTTAAATTATTGTATGTTCAATTGATTTTTAACCTTGCAATTTATTTCGTATGGTTTTTTGGTTTTTTTTTTTAAATTTGTTTCAGTCATTGTGAGCTGCTTTGGGTCCCCTCAGTGGGAGAAAGGCAACAAACCAACCAACCAAATAAGGGGTGCCAGGACCTTAATGAGAGGCAAATCTCCCTCTGTCTCCTAAGAGTAAACCTGCAGAAACATCTTGCTGACACTTTGTTAATCTTCACTTCGCTTGCCATGAACATCATATGAACATTTTTTCTTTTTGTTAAGTCTCTTTATATAAACTGTTTAAGTAATTTTGTAAGATGATAACACTGTTGATTTATCTGTTGACAGCTGTGTCCTTATCCGAATAACTGAAACGTTTTACACAAATTTTAATGTTGGATGCGCTACATGTATCTTACATTAGATGTTAACTGCAACACTCAATATATGTGGACCACCATATAGTGTAGACATTGCTATATAAAAATACATTTGATTATGATGATGATGTCTGTCCAGAAATAGGTTTCTTTAAATTAAATGGAACTTACTCATAGGTAAACATTACACAAATGGAGCCTTAATATTCTGAAAAAAGCAGGACTTGTACTGCCAACAGCCATACCTTCCTGTTGCAATTGGTCCGGTACACTCAAAAAAGTGCTAAAATGAATCCTACAATTTTGTTGCCCAATCACTCTGCTAACCAGTGCCATACATAAGCTTTATGTAAAGCATATTTACAAAAAACCCTAACTAGATACAAGACAGACATACTGTGGTAGCTGCACAGGCAGGGTTTAGTCAAAGGAGAGCTGTCTTACTTTGTACTCATCTACCTAATTAACAGATATCCCAAAATATCAAGTGGTATTTGTTTCAGTAACGTGTACAAGACTTCAGGAAAAACTGATAGCAGCTCTCCAAATAAGGGATAATATGATGAATCTTAACTTTTTTAAAAATAAGTTTTATTGACTTGTTCTTACTTAGCTCTGTTTCATATCTAATGGGTCTTGAAGTAATTTCTTCCTGATTTTTCATATGTCAGCTTTATTCTTCAATACTGGTTGGTTGGCTGCAAAGACATATGGCTGATACAGATTCAAGGTTGAATCAAGATACTCGATTCCACCCCTACATTTCTATTTCCTTCCCCGAATGTTGGTGTGAAAAGACAGAACTGGTCCTCACTTTGGACATTTATCTTGGCTTTATGTACTTGAAAATATCTACTTATGTTAGAGCCCTTGCCTGCCACTACTAAAAATCACCTCACAATGACTGTCTTCAAGAGAGTAATCACTCCGGACCTCAGAGGTATTTTTCCCTCCATACTGTTATAGGTTAAGAATGCAGACACTTCTGAAGCAGCATTTGGCTCTAAAAGAAAGTCACATATGCAACATGTTTTCTCTCATCGTGATAATTTGTCCATAACTTGTCTGTCACAAAGTGTGAGAGTTCTACTTTGATTTAGCAGCAGCACACATCCATCCAAGCAATAGTAGGAACATCCCTCGAACAAACCTGAAATTCCAGAATTCTTCTTGATCAACTGTGAGGTTCTGGTGTCTTCTAGACCATGTGGTTCCTCTATTGTTTATTATCCAGACATCATAGCCAGCATCTGCTAGAACAAATCCCAAACTGTTGTCGGGAAGATTTGCAATCCAGCACCTACCTTCCATCACCACACCGGGCACTAGTAACACAACTGGTTTAGACCCTGGGAAAGAAGAAGAAAAAGAGAGAGATTACCTCGACTGAAAATCGACATTTTACCTAGGAAATTTTTCATGGGTCATCAGCTTTTATTGATGTCTTTCTTGGGTCATTAACTTTTACTGATGTGATGTGCTACAGTGCCTCCTCGGTGATGCAACCGGAATTCCACTTTACAGAACAGATAGATTTTTATTCTTATACTAAGAATTATTGTGTATATGTATTTTCTGCCACCAAATCAGAACTGTTGCATAGCGATCCTAATAGGGCTTTAACAGTAAGTCAGATATTTAGGAATGGTTTTATCAGTTTTACTCCCTCAGTGAGGTTCTATGACAATGTGGGGATTTGAACTCTGTCCTCCAGAGCCCTAGCCCGTCACTCTATCCACTACATCACATTATTGTTAAATGATTGGCAGCGCTAACTTACTTCTTTATCATCAAAAACAAAATCAAAGCAAAACAAACCTGCAAGTTTTTTAAAGCTGTGCTTTAAAACAAAAGATGGGCACAAACCGGAAGACCAGTGAGTTGTGATGGCTCATGGCTCACGGCTAACCCTGAACCACCATGAAGCCCTGGAAAAACGAGCTAGTTCGTGGTTCATTTTTCCAGTTCATGCCTGTGGGGCCCTTACCTGCTCCTGCTACCTCCACTGCTGCCAGCACCACTGCCAGGCTCCTGGCAGGGAATCTGGGTACTGTCTCTGAGCATGCATCCAACTATCAGCAGGGCAATGGGCACATACTCAGAGGCAGTGGTTGGCTCCTGGCTGGGAAGCCAGGCCCACTTCCTCTGAGGATGGCACCTACGCAGCAGCTGAGGCAGAGGTGGCAGTGGCACCAGGAGCAGCTGGGCAAAGTCGATAGGGGAGAAGAGGCGAAGGCAGGCATCCCCTTTTGCCAAAGGAAATGAAATGCCAAAGGTAAGTTCACAGTTTCATCTCGCTTTGGCAAAAACAGGATCCCCCCAAACTGAGTTGTGAAATGAACCACAAACTAGCCCAGTTCATTGGGTTTACATATTAGTACCTGGTAACTAGCCGGATTTCTATGCTGCCTTATATATAACCAGACAATTGTTTTTGCAAAACTCTCATCCAGATAACTCATGCCATTTGTGTCTTCCTGTTGCCAGAATGTTAATGTTATCAATGTTTTGAATGTTCATTATCTATGTTAATAATGTCATTGTTCTCTTGGAAGAGAACACTAATTACTTGGTGTTGACATAGAATTATCATCCCATTTGGTCCCATCCCCATACTTGATCACACTTCCATCCCCAGGCCACCTGAACAATCAGTTCTATACACATGCACATTATTCTCAGAATCCTTTTAGAACTACCTGATTTTGCAGGACTGCTTGCTCCATGAGGAATTCTGTTTGCCTTCAGGTAATAGCCATCATCAGTAAGAATTTCATACTCTTCATTGGGGTATCCCCAATACTGTATAATTTCACTCTGAAGAAATTTTGAAAAATATGTTTGCAAAATAGAATCTGGTTCCCAATTCCTGTCACCTTAGAACTACTAAGTCTAAGCCTAACAATATCTTATGTGTTTATTTTAAATACCACCCATTTAATGAATACACACTACTCTGAGTGGTGTACAGGATGAAACACGAACCCCTGTAACCACCCTTAACTCCACTCCCATGTGACAATATAATTAGTAAGGTGATATAACCAACTTGAATGCAGTTAAGGTGTAGAAAGGAAAGCCTAAATTTTGAAAATAAAATTAGCAGCATTTGGGGATACGTTCTTAAAGGCTGCTTTATATAAGTGTCTACTCAGTAATGAGAAGGAAGTAACACTTGCAATTTATGTCTTGCAACCAAGGCCTTCAAGGACAAGTTAGCTTGTTCCCTGGTACTATGCTAACTGGAAAATAATTTCAGTTGTGTGAAGGGAGGGGGCAGAAAGTACAGATTTGAGGGAGCTCAAAGTCTGATTGGCAGACTGTCTGGAAGGATCAAGAATGTGGTGTTTAATGTATAAAAAGAGGTTACTTTAGGTGGCTTAGCTTATCTCTCAGGAAATGCTATGCTCAGTTGCTGTCCTGCTATCCTGTGCCTGGAAGAATACACTCTGTATGCTTCAAAACTATGCTGACTCTGTGGTAATGTATGAGTATTAGGTAGATCAGCTTGGCTTTCTTATTTTGCTCCAAGTGTTCTTTGAAATGTTTAGAAACTTTTAAGGAATGGTTGTCCTTTTTGCTTTTTAATTGTCTTTAATGAGATATTAAATTTCTCCAACCAACTGTCTGGGTTTATGGCTCAGAGGACTTGTGGTACTTTTTGCCAGCTACTGGGAGTTTTTGTTTTGTAGATGTGGTGACAGTTCTACATTGTAAGACAGGTATAATTGTTCTACTTAGCCTTCTGGATTCTTGAACCACCACACCCAGAGGCAATGCCAAGTCTCACTATACTGGGGAGTTGGGAGACACCAGGACCAAGCAGATTTCCTTCTGGGTTCACGTTAAGACTCTGCTCGCAACCTGAGTTCAGTTCCAATGGATCCAGGTAGCTGGCTCAAGGCTGACTCAGCCTTCCATCCTGCCAAGGTCAGTAAATTGAGTACCCAGCTCTTGGAGTGGGGCAATGTGTAGCCTGCCTAATCAAATTGTAAACTGTCCAGAGAGTGCTCCAAGCACTATGAGCAGTGTATAAGCAGCACACTTTGCTTTATTTAATTAGCCTTATAGGGCTAAGAAAAGTAAGACGAGTTTGGTCTTTCAAGATGGTGGCCCTCTTGCATTCTTTAATCAAGATGGTGGTCCTCTTGCTTTCTACATTAGGCACCAGACAGAGGCTCCCTTTCTGAATGTTGGCTTCCTGGCAGCCGCTTGACAATCATTAAGTTATAAACAGGAAGAGTTCTGAAGATAAGACTATAAGGGATGGGGAGAGGGAAGGCAAAAGTACAGCTTTGATAGGGCAGATGGGAAATGGGTTTTTCAAAAATCCAAGTACTGTAGCTGTTTCTTTCTCTCCAAAGGCCGAAACAGAGGCTTTTTTCTTTTTCCTGGGAAACCTTTATATAGGCACCTAGCTTAAACTAAAATAGCAATTTGGCATCAATGTAACTGCTTAAAAATGTGCCCCCTCCTACTTAACTGAATTAGATTTGGGGGCTCATTAACAGTTGATTAAACTGCTAGCCCTTTCCAAGATCAGTAACTGGTCAGCTCAACGTAAGATGGAAGTGACGTGATGGCGCATAATAACTACCACCATTTTCTATTAACTTTCCTATTTTTGCTCTGTCCCTGCCTTGTCCAGAACTGGCCACCTAATATCTGATTGTGTTTGTATTGTGTGCTGTCAGGTCAGTTCCAACTTATGGTGGCCCTTTCCATGGTTTTCAAGGTAGAGAATACTCCGAAGTATTTTATTGTTCTCTTTTTCTTGGGGCATTCTGGGACTGTGCAGCTTGCCCAAGGCCACACAGGCTGGCTCTTCTCCCAGGAAGCACAGTGGGGCACCAAAGTCCCAACCTCTGGCTTCACAGATAAACCAGATAAACCACTAAACCACTGAGCTATCCCTCTTGTCAAATCCATCCCACAAACTACATTCCTCCTGGGTTACCATGAGGAGGAGGTGCGGTTTTTGCAAAGCATAATCCTGGTAGATGAAGCCTGAAAGAGGGTTCAGTGTTGTTCTTTGCTGTCTTGGACCAGCCACATTTGGTTCAGTGAAACAGTGTGAATGCATTGGATTCAAGGGAAATTACTAACAGGAGTGTATATGTTTTACACTTCCAACCTAGCTCGCAGCATGTGAGGAAGGGGAGGTTGTACATTCCTTGTCCCTTGAGATTTCTCATTGTGCCATTATCAGTCAACAGACTTCAGACATTTTTCAGTCTCTCCTTTCCTAGATTTCTCTTATATACCAGCTATATTCCCTCCCCATCAAATAGCTAGTTGGTGGGCTAGTTGGTGGGCAGGGATAAGAACATTCTATAGGGGGCAGAAGGTGCCAAAGAACCACAATATGCATCTTCCTTGGTTCATGTGGCAGTAGTAAGCCTCTTTTTGTGCAGACTCCAGGTAGCTTGTTCAAGAGATAAGTACAATCTATAGGGGGCAGGAGGTGCCAAAGAACCGCATTATGCATCTCTCTTGGTTCATGTGGCAGTAGTAAGCATCTGAGTTTTTGTGCAGACTCCAGGTAGCTTGTTCATTTAAAAAGAATACCACATCTAACAGATATGAAAATATGTGCACTAGATCTAAGGCATGATGATAATCTGGAGGACAGATCCCTGCAATACAGGTTCAGCTAGCTTCATTGTTTTCATTCAGCCAAACCCTTTTACAGTAGATGCTAATCAGAGTGCTGATCTCACAAATGATTGTCAGTTACTTGCCTGCCTTGGATAAGTCAATGATGGCACAAATCACCTGCTGGAGAAACTATCTGCAAAGAATATGTAAGGATTTTCTTTCAATAACAGCATTATTTCCAAATGCAACTTACAACAGTCATAAATGTTTGAGGATTCAAATGTCTCTTGTTGGTGAATTCTGATTCTGCAGCCTGTTGGATTAAGCATACCACCGCCAGAAACAGCCACATTTTAGACCTCTGTAAAAACAATGGCAGACGTTGTAAGCAAAATATGTTCAGCCTCTGAATGTTTCAGATTCAGAATAGGAAAAAGGGCACAGCAGGGGAAAGATACACTGAGGCAGTGAAGAATATCATAAGGAAAGTGATAACGTTGCTAACTTAAATTCTAAGGAAAGGAGCCTGAAAATCCTATTTATAAATCTAGTTTCTTAATATTGTAGTGGATTTTTTTCCACGTAGATGGGCTTTATTTATAAAAAATAAATCCATCTGAAGGGAAGCGTCTTTCTAATCTGTGGAATTTATTTTCAAGTAAATGTGTTTAGAATTAGAGTGCAATTATATATGACGTAGAGAAGATAGACAGTAAAGGCAGCAACAAAACGGTACAAGCAAATATTGGCTAAAATGTCTTTTGGTGTAACTATGCCTGTGAAAGACGGATGTTGTCATTTGGATTTTGGAAAATTAAATATTTTCCTTTCATCACATGGATGCCATGGTGGATACCAGTGGGAAAGAAGATGTCATTAATTACTAAAAATCATCACAGCCACGAAACCACTTCAGCAAGTTATGAAAACATTACAACAGCAGTAATACTGTTGTAATGTTTGCATAACTTGCTGAAAAACCACTTCAGCAAGTTATGCAAACATTACAACAGTAGTAATACAATTCTGGTCTATATTTTCTACTAGTGTAGAAGCTTGTAACTTTTTTTCTGACTCTAACTGTGATGGTTCTCAGTAAATAAAGACTTCCACCTCCTGTCCCACAGTTCTCACAGTTTTCATGTGATCAAAGGGATTGCAGTGGAGCTGTGGGGCAAAAGTAGAGAATGTTTAATTCACCAAAATCGTCCCTGTTGATGACATCTTCAGCCTTCCACAGGCATGATTACACCAGCAGGATTTCAGTTATTATAAAATGATAACTGAATAATAACAAAACTGAAGGCAACTTTATAACTCTAGATTTTAAAGGCCCCTTTCCTCAGTTCAGACCAAGGAATATCAGGAAAAAAATTAAATTACCTGATGAATAGATTCCTCAGAAATATTTACAAAATGTGACACAAGGTCTGCTTTGGCATCTCATCAACTATCTGCATAAACATAAACAAGCTACCTAAACCTTATGTGAACACCAGTAGGACTTTGGGCACAATTTTCCAAGTCCAATGGCCCAGAATATATATATGTAGTATACAAATACAAACACAAACACAAACACAAACATATGTAGTATACAAACACAAACACAAACACATACATACATACACACACACACATACATACACATATACATATACATACATATATATACACATATATATATATATATACACACACACACACATATACATACACAAACATATACACACATATATACATATATATACATACACACACACATATGTATACATACACAAACATGTACACACATATATACAGTACATACATATACATATATACACACATGCATACATGTATGTATGTATACATATACTGTATACATATATACATATACATATACACACACATGCATACATGTATGTATGTATGTATGCATGCATGCATATATACATATATACACACATATACAGTATATATGCATATACATATAATACATATACACATATATACATATATATGCATGCACACACACACATACATACATACATACATACATGCATGTGTGTGTGTGTGTGTGTGTGTGTGTGTGTGTGTGTGTGTGTGTAGGTATATATATGTATATGAGTTTATGGATTTGCCCACAAAAAGAGTCTGCATACAGGGCTCATGATAAACCCACACATTAAACACCATAGGTAAACAATAACACACAATCAACTCAATACTTTACGTGCAAAAAGAAGATAGATGTGTGCAAATATGCAATGTTTAACAGCAATTAAATACAAATAAATAAATAAATGCCTCTCAGGCAGAGGAATGGAAACACATGGCAAGAATCCAGGTAATACCTAATTTCCTGCATATTCAGGAGCATAAATACCCAATAAGAAAAGAATATGGTAATTTGATTGTCAAAATCTATATGTTAGGGAGGTGCAACTAGGAGCAAAATTTGGGTTCAAAATTCTGACTTGGAACTTGGAATTAAAGCCCTTTGGATTCAAAACTTTAAAAATTCAGAATGTCCAGATATCCAGAAATAAGTTATACTCAATATGAATACTATAAAGCCACTATTCCAGCCTTTTTTTAAAAAAACCACACACACAAGCAAAACATTTTAAAAGATTTCCCTGTGTCATTGACAGCTTCCCAGGGATTGTTCCTAACAAAAAACAAAAAACAAAAAACAATTCACTCCAACTGCCGGCAATGCTTAGGTATTAGGAAATGACTAATGGGCATACTGATTGAACCCTGAACAGTGGTTCAATGCTGCTTTTAACAGTAGGGTTTTTCTGGGAATTGCGAGGGTTGGGGGGGGTAAACCCTTCCTTGATTATGATGGAACTGGAAGGTATGGATAGGGAAGACAAGGTCCGCTGCTCTTTATCAATCTCTTTCCCAACTATAATGGCAGCAGCACTCCTGCTGCCCAAGCTGACAATATCCATCTGAATGCTGATACTATTATTACTTATTTTTATGGGCTTTAATTTATTTATGGGCTTGAATATATATGTGTGTGTACTGTGTATGTATGTATGTATGTATGTATGTATGTATGTATGTATGGAATTTATTTATGGGCTTGAATATATATATGTGTGTGTACTCTGTGTGTGTGTGTATGTGTATATATATATGTTGCTTGCTATGTGTGTTTAGTAACTTAGGTGGTGGCAATGGATCAGATTTAGGCACACATGAAATTGAATTAAAAGCCAACAGGTACGCAATGCAAAAATTCAATGCAAGGAAGCTCAATGGGGGATCCTGAAAAGACCAGCCTGAGGATACTCTCCTCCTCCTGCAGGAACATCCATAGCAGTTAAACAACAAGTCATAGTTCCCCAAACACCGGCATTTTACATTGTAGAAGATGTGCACTGTGTTTCTATTTGAATCCCCCTCCCTCAAAATCACAAGCAGAAGGCAATGCCACAATCCCCCAATGTTGCCTGAGTCTCCTATTACTTTTGAGAAAAATGGGGAGGAGGAGAAAATGTGGCCATATTCTCCCATGCAAAGAGCAGTTATGCATCCCAGCTGTTCTCACCTCTATCCTCTCTCAGTAACAACGGTACAGATCATGTACTCATCTGGAATCCTCTAACATGGGGTAATTGTGTATGAGGGAAATATCCTTTAAAATTTGTGTGTAGAATACGTGTAGAAGACATGTGTGTAGAAAAAGCCAGGAAATTCAATTACTATAAAATACAAAAAAGGTTCTGTGTATGAATGTGATATATTCTGCTTCTGTTCAAAAAGCAAGCAATACTTCATGCCACATCCCCATCAGGAAAAAGGATGCCTCTTGTGTTCATTATGTTTCCCACTTGTTGAAAAACAGCCCCGACCATTCGGTGAGAAGGGGTTAATTGAGGAAAACAGGAGTTGGCTTCTGGAATTTTCCCTTGTGCGGTATCACTCTGTGAACAAGTTTGAGTAGAAGAAGGTATCCTGTAGACAGTCTTGGTTGATGCCATTGGTGTTGTCAACATTCAGGCTGCCCTTTGCTATGTAAAGCTTTTCTTTTTCCTGCTCACAACATGGGTACAATATAGTGCAGTAATATTGGGTTACTTCCTGGATTTTTGAATCGTGGGTAGAGAAGCACAACATTCCACATTCATAAACTGGAGGTTTTTTAAAGAAATGAATATCATATATGCCAATGTCATGGGGGAGGTAATTGCCAGTACTGCCATACCAGTACAGTACATTCCTTACTGAGACTGCCTGTGTGTATGACTTGCCCACAGGAAAGAAAACATTATTACTCACATGTAATGTAATGGTGGCAGCCCCTGGTGACATATTTTTACCAATGTATTGATGTATCAGGCATGAAAAATTCCCGTGGGAAGATACATTGAAACGTTGGTGTACCAATGTCACTGGGGGGGGGTGTCAATCACCAGTGCTACTGCATGGATATCCCAGTTTTATTGCGTGCAATGTATTTCTGCATGAGCAGCCAGTGCAACAGATGGATGCTTCCTTAAACAGAAACACCTTCCTGATCAATCCACTACTCTAGCCCACACAACCCCACAGATGTAAATGCCTTTTGTAGAATACACCTTTTACAGAAGAAAGAAACACGTAATAAATTAACCAAATAACAATTATTTAAAAATCTGTCCAACAAAGAGGCATTCTTTTTGACACTGGGGAAAAATAGCAACATTTTTAGAAAACACACAATGCATTCTCTCAAAAACCAAGAAAAGCAAGCAAGAGAATAAATGCAAAAATATACCTACACCACACAGTAAAATGTCTAGAAAATGTCTAGGTTTCTCTCCCATCATCACTTGATGCCGTCCTGTCTCTTCCTTGAGTCCCATGGACAGTAGCAAGCAGGACAGACCCAGATAGCAAAAATAATCCAGGAAAGGAAAAGACCATAGAGCGACAAATTCCAGCCCACCCCCATCCCCCAAATGGGAAGAGGGATCTCAAAAACAATACCAAGTAGCTTGCCTGACAACAGCAAAAATAATACATAGAAATGGATTATTAGAATCCCACCCAAATGTTTTAAAAGAGACAAAAAAAAAAGATCTAACATGGAGGCACAGAGGCAGGCAGGTAGGTAGCACAATCCAAGATGGAGGGTACCAGGAACTCAAGAGCACACAGTAATCCTACCCACAATGAATGACAGATGCAAAGAGCACTCCTCACTCTGTTCCTACCAATCCAAACTATTTTACAGATTTAAAAAATTCTCAATGCCCCCCAATGTTCTCAATGTCCCCCTCAATGCCCCCCAATGTCTATGAAAAACTTCTTAGACAATATAACAGACAAAGGGTGAACGTTCACAGAAAAGAGGAAACACAAAAGAAAACT